TTCACTCAGGGCAGCTATCAGCTCTGAACTCTTTTGCTGCATATCAAATTGCCAAAACCGTAGATCCATCAGACAGATTAAGAAGTGCTCGGTTCATTGGTGTGTAGTCCAGGACAGAGAAATGTTCATGGTCCCTGTACAAGGTCGTAAAGAGCCCGACTTTTAGTAACTTAAACTATGTACTTAAATTCACTAATTTCGTGGTCCGCTTGACCAATTAATATATTACAATTAATTAAGGTTTTTAGCTGAGATAAAAAAAAGTCAATGGCACGAGCGAGATTCGAACCCACGACCTTCGGCTAGATACGCCCCTGCTCTACTACTTGAGCTATCGTGACCTCGATCCACTCGGACACCAACTTCCTATCTCAACCCCACCTTTTGAATTTTCCCTCCTTTTTGCCATTTTTCAAATGTCGTGTGATCGGAATGGATTCTCGGCGACAAATGAAGATCATGGGTTCGAATCCCGCTCGCGCCATTGACTTTTTTATCTCAATTAAAAGCCTTATTAATTGTACTATGTACTTTGTTGAGCTGAATAGAGTGCAAATTTTTTCTCCTGGACATCATAAACCAACATTTGAATCACTCTTTCGAAATCCAACCTGCCACAGTACAGAAAGATTTCTTGTCTTTTGTCATGAAAAGCTGATTTCTGTAGCAAATGATTAATTTTGTAGAAAATATTTGATTTTTCATTATTGTCTTATACATTTTAAAACCGACATTTAAAGCGATAATCCGAGAGATATGCTTATGCAAATCTTCAAATCCATTCACCCAGGTTTAGAGTTGTTTGGTAGAATTCTAATTTTCCTAATGCAAGGTTCGCAAGTTTCTTTTTGCTTTTCAAGGATTTCTCTCCACCCTCTTCACATCATTTTCAGTTTACAACAAAAGTTCTGGAGTTATTTGACTCAATATATAATAAAAGCTTTCAATTCTCTCTAAGTATTTCGATGATAATAAGTAGAAACCAAATTAATTTTTAAGTTGTAAACTTTAAATCGGGTGTAATATGTATGTATTTTTAATAGTCGATTATTAATGAAACTTATTCAATTCACTAGTTTTCGTTATCCTATTATCCCACCTTCGAGAAGGAAAAATCATAAGTTAAACTGTTGACGTCGAAATATAAGAAAACATCTAAAAAGTAAAATTTTAGCATTAAACAACAAGTTGAGTGATTTTGTCGAACTAGAAAAACTAAAAGATTCAACTAATCAATTACAACTTATGTATCATGCTGAATGTTGTACAAGTTTTAGAAAACTCCATAATATTTTGTAAGCAACAAAAACTTCACCCCAGCATATCTTCTCAAGAATTATTAACTGGAATTCAGGAAATCGCTAAATTTTATAATATTAGACTACTGTTTGAACCAAAATCAGAAAATATATTAGAATTTGAAGATTTAATAAAAGTTAATTGCGAAGTTCATTATTTTATTATGCCTGCCTTTGATCACTAACCATGATTATAATCTTTTCAAATTACTATCAGCACCTAGGCAACATGAATCTAAATCCATCACTATTATACCTAATCAATTCACTAGTTTTCGTCGTCCGCTTGACCAATTAATATCTTTCAATTAATTAAGGCTTTTAGGTGGGATAAAAAAGTCAATGTCACGAGCGGGATTCGAACCCACGACCTTCGGCTAGATACGCCGCTGCTCTACCACTTGAGCTATCGTGACTTCGATCCACTCGGACACTAACTTCCCATCTCAACCAAGAACAAGTGACTGAAATTGGGTTGAGACCGGAAGTCTTTAGAAAACTATGATTTCTTTTTGAAAAACAAATTAATTTTGAACATGTAGTTAACGTTAAATATTGATCATAAATGGTAACTTAACCGAAAAGCGTTCAATGTCATTTGAAATAGCTTCACGGCCACGTCTCAAAGGCCTGAAGAGCGAATCGAATGATTAGGATTGAAATTGGAAAAGAATGACCTGTTAAAGGAATTAGCCTTGAGGGACGAATTTTTTCTAAAAAGGATGTTCACCATAACCCAGGCAATACATATCAACTGGTACATATAAAACGAGCTTTTTCCAAAAGAATGTGGATAACGCCTTTTTGAATATTTTTGAGGTTAAAGTACGGAGCTTAGTCAAAGCATACAACTCCTTAAGAATCCATCTTTCAATCATCTTTTCAATATCTACGTTTGTAGCCCAACCGTTTAGGAACTCAGCTTTCCTATGCCTCAGTTCTGAAAATCCTCAATGCCGACTGAAACGCTTGTGACCCAGTGATCTCACAAGTGATCAGAGTTAGAAATGTGGCGCATATCCTTACGTCGTCGTGTATAATTAAAAAATACCAAAACTGATTTCTGATTATTTCTGAAAGAGAGATAAACGCTCGGGATTGTTGTTCTCAGCGTCCGATAAGTAGGTCGCTCGGATTCGTACATTCCTTTCTTAAATTAAACACAGCACGCTCATACTTTCTTTACACACAATTGTGGAAGCACGGTGAGGATTTTTTTTTGTAAACACATCTTACATAAATAGAACTACCAGTCGTCCACTTGTCGTTTCGGTGCATATAAATTGGTTTACATTTTGAGAAAACTCTAGGGATACATTTTTAGAACAGTAAGAAAAAAGAGGCCATTTCAACACGCTCTCAGAATACAAGCCTTTTGAATATTGCCTGAAAACCTATATTTACATATTTATTTATATAGAATATAACGCTAAATTTCATAGCTCTAACTTTGGCTATGTTTACTCAATTAAAAATCAAATGTTCGTCTTCTTTATTAACAAACTTATAATTTACGTACAGTGAAGCCTTTAAAGTTGTAGTAAACTAAGAAATAACATACATGTTACGTAGGTATATTTCACACCAAGAACCCCTCCTGAAAAATAAATCCAAAGAGCCTGTACGGCCATTATTGTGTTTTATTTTTTATTTATTGGGTCGCGCCAATGTTAGATGTTAGGTCGAAAATGTAGTCACATTATCCGTTAGGGAGTAGGTAACTAACATGGCAGCCACGAATTTAACAGCTGTTTTTTGTTTACACGTATTTTTATTCTTAAATATGCATTAATTAAATCAGACCAATACATTTCTTTACATTTATACATTTACAATTTAACGCAAAACAAAACCATAACAAACAATAACAAGCCTTCAACTGTTACAGATTTATTTTTGGTTTTACCAGTCGCCATGGGCAGCATTGCGGAAAAATTAACATTTAACATGCTAAGAAAAAAGGGGACGTTCACAATCTTTCTGTATAATTCTCGACTTGAGTTAACACGAGTTAACATCTAACAAAATTGTGAATACACTAATTATTTTGTTTAACTCCACTTCTGCTTTGCCTATTATTTTAATTTTATTGTGCATTTTTTTTCACTAACGTCTATAATTTAAGGTCTATATGCCTTAATGTCTCACCACCACCTACGCGGACGTTACCGCAATTTTGTCCTCGAACTCGAATAATATTCAAACTATTTGTACTATCCACGTACACCTTGAGCTTAAAGTTGAATGTACTCCGTGTTCACAATGGAAAAGCAGTCTTACACTGACATCAATATCAAAGACATACCGACTTTCATGCAAGAAAAACAATCGGGCTATACTTAGACAGTGGACTGGCGTGAATCGCACAAGCTTTAAGAGGCAACAACTAAAGAGAAGACTTGGACAAGTACGAAGATTCTAGGACCAAAAATCAGGCTTGGTCGTCAAAACTAAACTAACCTTATACAAGATTTTACTGCGACCATTTTGGGCATAAGGAATGGAACTGTGAAGTTCTGCCGAGCCATCAAACATCCAGCGCATCTAATCCTTCCAATCAAAAGTCCTCAGTCAAATCGTCAAAGCTCCTTACTACGTCATTACTTCACTCCACGACGACCACAACATTCCTTTTGTTAACGAACTTCCAACAATTTCACACCAACCTCTCGATTCATCCTAATCCTAATGCTTGACCCCTCTATACACATTCTTATCCCGTGAACCCGCCAAGTCGCCTTAATAGATGATGGCCTCGAGACCTCCATGCATCTTAATCCCTCACACTGAGTGCCAACATTGGCGATTTATCATGGCACGTCTACTTTGTTTGCAGTGCAGGCATTAATGTTAGCACTGCGACTGCGTGAAAAAATGTACTGTGTACACATTTGTAAGATGTGTAAGCCACAAATTAAAAAAAAAGGTATACAACATGTCCACATAAGCCCACCTCCCATTTGTTTCATTTTATCATGCAAATCTGATCTTAAAATGATACTAATTGAACATCATCTTGTCCCTTAATAATAGTACTGTTTATAAGATGGTCCAAATTTTTTTTCTTCTAAAATTCTCCCCTATGGATTTATAAATGACCCCGCAGATCACAAGAGGAACTCTCACAAAAAAGGACTTTTGGAATATGAACAGAATAGAAATGATANAACAGCAATATTTTTTTGCTATAATGATTGATATTTTCATCAGAAGCGATTAATCTGTTTTAATTGAGTCGTTTGAGGGTTTGGATTATCTTTCCCATGGAGATCAAGTCCGTGGAGCAGCCATCGATTTTCTGTTGATTGGAAGGAGGAGACTTAACTCGCCCGGGGGCAATAAATTCTGTCGCTGTACGAGTCTGTATTGTGCGCTGTTAGGCGCAATTTTGAACGATAACCTTCAAAGAATTCAAAAATCGATTATTGAGGGGGAGCCTGATCGCGTTGACGGGTATGAAGAAAAACGATGAGCAGATTCGAATATTTATGCGTTATGCCAAATAATATTACGTACTGTTGTATAATTATTTTCGTGAGTTCAGAAGATTCGGGTGACAAAATTTCCTTTTGATATGACAAAAGTAACAAGTCTCCTACAAATCAATTTCAACTCCCTTTACTTAATCCTTAAAAATATTTGTTTAATATGATAAGTAACGTTAAACATTATTTCATATGCTTTATTATTTTTGTGTTGCAGAAGGAGATGGATGTGATCACGTAATATAACCAGTGAATTAAAAAAAAAAAAAAACCTGACCTTTCTAAAGGAACATACAATGAAAAATATGCAAGAAAGTGCACCTCAAATTAAGAGCAATGACATTTATGTTATAAATGACAGCTTGTACGAGTCACCGAAGAAAATCGTCGATACGGAGAACTGTCGAATTTCCAATGTGATGAAGCTCGAAAGGCTCTCAATCAGCTCTTGCGAGGAACAAATCGCGATTGGCCACGGTGAAAACGGGTTCGGTTTGACAAATGACGAAGATGTCCACAAGAACGGTGGGATGCCGATCTCGCCGCCTAAGTCTATAGAAAATCAAAACAAGGCCGACGATTTCAACGACGCAGTTCAGGACAGCGGGCTGGAATCCGCGGCATCCAGCTGGGACAGAACGCTCGCTGAAGTCAAGGAACACACGTTCATCCGCCTTCAAGACGAACTGAAAAAAGCTCAGGAGGAATTAAAACTCAGAGACGAAGAAGTGTCCCGGTTGAACAGGATAAGGTCCGAGGTCGAATCTGAACTGGAGGAACTCACAGCAAGTCTTTTTCAAGTAAGATTTCAAAACTTTATAGTAGTTAGAGAATTTTTTTTAAACTTTTATTTGAGGTTTATGTGCTTAAATCATGCTCCGATCCACCCAGCAGGGTCGTTTCCATTGAAAATAACGACAAATACGTTGTTTTTGGTTAGGATTATTGATTATCAAGGATTCAATGTTGTTTTTCAGTGAAGCGGGTTTTCTCTTGTTTCGTTCTCATTTTTATATTGTTTACTGGCTCGGCAGGGTCATTTCCAGCGAAAATAACTACATACGTTGAGAAAAATTTTGTTTTAACGTGGACATGTTTTTGAGCTGGATAATAAATTTTTTGCCACCATTTACGCATCATGAATTTTGCGTTACCGGGGAGTGCGCATGGGTTAGGCTATGCTTTAAGTCAGGAACAAACTTCCCCTATGCAAAGCTATGCGACGCTACCCGATGCCACCTGACGCAAATCCAAAGTCCATTTTTCCATGAGATTGTATTACCCCCTCCCCGATGCTATGCTACGCTACCGTACTCTACGCTCTGCGATCCTCACTGTCCTGATTTTAGTCGCATCGAGTACAGTCGAAGACAAAAAACCGGACGCTCATATTTTTATTCAAACTACATGTATTATTGTAGTTATATTAATTACAACATACTTATTTTAATATAAACCAAATTAACCGAGATAAAAATCCATTAGTTTTTATTTAAAATAATAATAATAATTCCCTAATTTCGTGGTCCGCTTGACCAATTAATATATTACAATTAAGGTTTTTAGATGAGATAAAAAAGTCAATGGCACGAGGGGGATTCGAACCCACAATCTTNTTTTATCTCGGGGAGTGATTTGGTGATGTCCTCTCCTTCAAAGATTTCAAATCTAGACCTAGCATACCTATCACATTCTGCGAGGTAGTGCTTTGCCGTTTCTTCTTTTATTTCACAAAATCGGCAAATGGGGTCTGGTAGAATACCCATTACAAAGAGGTGTCTTCTCAGAGTGGCAATGGCCCGTCAGGATACCTATCAGCCTCCTAATTCCCTTTCTTGAGTTAGAGAATAGCCATTTCGATTATGTTGGTTTGATCTCCTTCACAAACTCCTTCGATTGCCTGTGTGCGGGGGACAGATTCCTTTCCTTAAGGAATTATTTCATGCCCCAGGTATTGATACTCTCTTTCGCTGTGCTTATAGAGTGAGGTAATACCGGTTATGGCCCGACAAACGCAGTATTAGAACCTTCTTTGGCTAGGCCATCCGCCTTTTCATTGCCATGGTGTCCTTTATGTGCTGGTATCCAAATAAGGGTCACCTTATGCTCAAACCTGAAAGAGATCCTATTGATAAGATCAATAGTTTCCTCCACCAGTCGTGAGGTTGACAAATCTTTTTGTAATGCCCTAAGACTAGCCTGACTGTCAGAAGAGATTTTAATATCTTTTCCCTTAATTTTATTTTCCATAAGTGTTATACAACACACATTGATGGCCCAGATTTTCGCCTGAAAAACGGTGGTGTTATTGTCAAGATGGGAGGAGATGCTGATTCCTAATTTTGGTATGTACATTCCTGCTCCGCTCCCTCTACCTTTGATAAGTGATCCATCTGTGTAGCAGTCTATGTAACGGTGGTCATCATCCAAACTATAATTATATTCACCAGGAGTGATACCTGAAAGTACTTTTTCCCCGAATGGGTTTTAATATTTTTATCACTAACGCTTAATAATTGACCGTTAACCTTACTCAATAGTTTTGAGATTTTCGAGTGACCTATGTTATTGCACTTGATGATTCCTGCTGCCCTCGCTAATTAATCTGTAGCAGCTGATTAGTGCTCTGACCTTAACCTCAATGTGAAGGGGTGTGGTATTGGTTATGATTTCAAGTGCTAGGGTGGGTGTAGTTGAAAATGCTCATGTCATCCTCATACAACCTAGTCTTTGAAATGACCTTAATTTATTACTATTCCCTTTATTTTCTAGACCTTTCCACCACACTAAAGCTGTGAAAAAGAATCTAGGTAGAATAATTGCACTATATAGCCATTTGGCTACCATGGTTTGATGTCCCATGTTTTACCAACAATTCTCCTACATTGTACCATTGATATGGTGCCTTTCCTGTATATGTTATTAATATGACCTTTCCAATCAAGTTTCCTGTCGAGTGTCACACCAAGGAATTTGATTGAATCCACTAACTTTAATTCTATGCCCTGAAATTTAGGGTTTTTAAAATTACCTAATGTTCTTCTCCTGCTAAACATTATCAATTCTAGTTTAGCAGGATTAATTGATAAACCTTTGTGACAACACCACCTATAAAGCAATCCCATGGCGTTTTCCATCAGTATGAAAGAGTCAGGGGTTCCCTACTTGTGAGCATTATGGTACCATCATCTGAAAATAATTGACTGTAGAAACCTGAATTATTCAGAAGTTCTATTAAGCTGTTTACTGTAATTAGCCATAAAAGAGGTGACAAACAGCCTCCCAGTGGACACCCTCCTTTTACATTAATTCTAAGAGTGCTACCACCTAAGCACATATTGACCATCCTCCCCTCCAAGTAGGTCTTCACCCATTTAGTAAGGTGATGGTCGACATTGTAATTATCTAATGCTGATATAATGCAAGAAGTATCAGCATTATCAAACGCCCCTTGGATATCGAAGAAGCAACGTAGTGTATATTCATTATTAAATAATGATTTCTCGATCCTGCCTATTAGTGAGTGCAAGGCAGTTTCCATTGATTTTCTCTATAATTGTTATGAAAATAGAAGATATACTTATAGGTCTATACGATTTAGGTAATTGATATGAGACCTTACCTGGTTTGGGTAAGAAAATTACCCTTATTTCCTTCCAGCATTTTGGTATATATCCCAATGCCAGACTACTCCTTAGGAGATCCCATACTACTAGATAGACTAGGTGTATCCTGTTGAAGGAGGGCAGGGAATATTCCATCCACCCCGGCTGACTTGTATTTCTTGAAGGATCATAACTTAATTATCATAAACTAACCTAGATTGGAGGTCGATGGTGTATTTTTATAAAGTTTCCGCCATCAGCCCAAGTCATACACACAACCTGAGAAGCGATGGAGAAGCACTTCGCCATCAGCCCCTCCCCATTCACACCAATAAATACATTCACTCATACAAGACACAGAAACACAAAACACATATTTTGTAGGCTATATGCAATAAAAAATTCCCATTCCCCTAAAAAGCGGAACAGGGGACTCTGAAACTCGCTACCGTGTTCTTAAATCCGGCGGCATGCCTACACGCTCTCTGTATGGAGCCAAGGCATGACACTCCTCTATTATGTGGGACACATCGAGCAACCTTTCTCTGCATAAGGGGCACCTGCACGGGCTTTGGCCCAAAAGCAGGTGCCCGTATGTCAACCGCTTATGGCCAATCCTCAGTCGCGTGAGGACGATCCCTTGTCTCCTGCTGAGGTTCTCTGAGGGCCATCTACCGTATATGTATTAATTACATAATTATTTTAAAACAAACCAAATGAAGCGAGATAAAAAATTCATTAGTTTTTATTTTAAAAAATTAATTTTAATGGTTTGGCAGAAAATTTATCAAAAAACACCGGAATAACTATTTAAAACAATTAAATTTACCTAACAATTTATTACATGGTTTTGTTCATAAAATTTAACTAACGATTTATTACATGGTTTTTAAACGATTTTAAAATTACTCCATTTTCGTCGAGTAGCGTCAGAACAGGACACTCATATTTTTATTTCAATCTATATGTATTATTGCTGTTATATTAATTACAACATATTTATTTTTAATACGAAATTAAGCGAGATCAAAAATTTGTTACATTTATTTTTTAAAAAATTAATTTTAATGGTTTGGCAGAAAATTTATCAAATACGGAATAACTTTATTTAAAACAATTAAATTTAACTAACATTTATTACATGGTTGTGCTCAAAAATGTAACTAACAATTTATTACATGGTTTGGCTCAAAATAATGCATAAGAACAAAAGAGGCGTTACGATTGTGACAGTGATTATTGTGATACACGCTGTGTGATTGTTTATGGCGTGCGCTTGGCGTCGCATAGATGTGCACACCCTACCACAACGAGACGGGGCGTCGGATAGCATCAGCTAACATCGCGTAGCGTAGCATCGGGTAAGTGCGTTCCCCGCTTAAATCTTGCGCCAATCGAACCTGCTGAGTCGATTCCATCTAAAACGTGATCTAATACGTTGAGAAACGAGGAGTGTGCATGGGTTGGATAGGTTAGACTAAGTTTGGTAGGGTTAGTGTTAGGTTAGGTAGAGTTAGAATTAGGGTTTTTGTTACGCCTGGTCTAGGCTTGCTGTTAGGTTACTTATCCATAATTTAATATTTTTCAATGATGCGGAGAAAATAATACATTTGGATGTTTACTCTGTTGAGTAGTTTCTGTTGAAAACAAGTACAATCATGTGGAAATATATGTATTATATTCTTCTGTTTTTTGCTTTTTTTCTAGCTTGTTTTTTATGTTTACGAGCTCAACTCATATGACAAACGGCATTTAAAACAAGTACACATATTTCTAACTACATTTTTTCTATTTTTTCCCGTATCTTTCACTTGTTTTGTGGTTTATGTGCTTAATTCTAGTGGATCATTTTCATTCAAAACAAGTCGAAATAAGACGAAATATTTTTTTCTCTCCGTTTTTATGTTTTTCTTTCTTATATTAGAGAGAGTCTTTTTAATTGAAAACAAATACAAATACTTAAAACATGACAATTTTCGCGATAATTTTGCTTATTTTCAGGTAGGTTTTAAGTCATCATGAATAAATTGCAGCTTTGATAACGATAACTGTTTGTATAATTCTAATGAAGTACAATTGTAAGATTATAATAATCTCAATTCATTTAAATAAGGTAACGAATCAAATCAGAGACGATGGATTGGGTCTATTTTTATTTAAGGAAGGCAGTGGATCAATAATCAATGAGGGGCTATAAGCTATGTGCTTTTCTAACTAAGAAAAACGTCCCAATTCCGTTTTGTTTCTTTTCTCAAATTGTATACTTTATCTTCGAAAAGCAGACAATATTTTAAGTGCCGATTTACGGTTAGGCTTTACAAAATAAATTAGGAAACTGCCCTTGAATGTAATTCGCAGCACTTTCGACTAGAAATCCTAGATTACACTCGACAAATCTTAAAAAGGAAGACTGTTCGTTGAGACCGAGAAGTTGAAACTTTATAAAGTCATTGTAGAAAATAGTCGATATTTACCGTACACGGTTCATGTATACAAAACGATAACTGCCTTTGACTAAAGCACGATTTTATTTACACATTCTTTGTTAAGTCACTAAACCTGTTAACAACTTCTTAGCAGGTTCCATTTAAAATATTAAAACAGCAAAGAGATTCAAGTATAATTTACTTCTCTTTATTTCATTCTTAACATAGATTTTTTTATGAGGGTTCGCAACAGCAGAGGTTATATCAACCCTCGGGGTGCCGGTGTTTTTGAAAAAAAAAGCCCATTTGTAAGAATGTCGGGTTCGAATCCAGCGGCCCTTCATTCGAACCCGGGACCTTCACCTTACAGTGATGAGCGCCGTGTCAACGCCTAAACCGTTGCGGCCACCGACTCCCCCTAAAATCGATTTCTCTTTAATAGTACTCAAATAAATTCCATATGAATGGGCAAGAGTTATACAAGCAGATACGATTCCCTGTACTTATGTTAAGGAGAAACCTACAAATGTGCGACGGTAACGCCTATTTTTCTAAGGCTGCGCTAAAAGGATTTGCTTCCAGAGACAAACTCTTTATCTCTAAGTGATTTTTATGAGTTTCTCTTTATTTAAAATGAATCTTGTTTAAACGGAGAACCGCCGCGGAGAGGAAAATAAGTTAAAACTCTGTGAGAAAGTGGTCTCAGCCCATTTTTGTTGGTCTTACTCCTGTTGTTCCCATCCTCATTATAAAGTCTGGGTATAAATTGATTTCTGAAGAGAGAGTACGTTTTTTTAATGCCGCACAAATACCTTTACCTCTGTAATAATAATAATAGAACACTACAATTCAATTCCGTCCGTTTTGTTTGGGATAAGGGTCCCGGGTATGGAGTCGTCGACATCGGCTTCTAGTGTTTCAGGGTATGGAATCGTTTATAACGACTCCTAGTGTTTCCAGGACAAATATAATCTGAAGCTCTGTGTCAGTAAGGATGGATTCGAAGTAGGTTACTTGGCTATTGGTTCGAAGGATTTTGTGCTTAGTGATTTATTTGGAGTTTGGAACATTTAGTTAAGCCCATTGTTCAATTCCGCCTAGATTGGTTGAAATAGTGTACGAAAATGAGACGTTGTGTAGTGAAAGTTTCGATTTGACCTTTGAATATGCATCGTCGGTTCACATCTATTATTTTGAGTCAAGTATCATAAAAAGCTAAGTCTCTTTTTAACGTAAAGTTCCAAATAGTCTACAAGCAAGGAAAGAAGGAGATTTCAAATCCACATGCCCCTTCCTTCTCTATACAATGACATAAAGAAGAACGTAAGAATTACACTCTATCACGAAGAGTAAAGAGAGTAAGATGTGTATTATAGTGACAATAAAAGTACCGATGTATAGCGACATGTACCGATGGCGATACTCCTACAAGAAACACGAATCCGCCCGGGGAGGCGCCTCGACTGAAGGGGTATAAAACCTCTAGAAAGGTGCAGCCGGATCCGGGGGTAGGGGGCATGGAGGAGTGGCCATTTTATTGTTGTAGTACCTCGTTTGGTACGTCTCAGTGAGAGGAGTAATCCCAATGAACCCGAGACCCAGCGATGAGGCACCACTTCGTGATTTCTTTTTCTTTTCCTTTTTTCCTACGTTTCCTTTTCTCTTTTTCTGTGCCGGTGACCTAGGAGACACAGGCACATGTTCCTATGTTCTCATTCATGTTGTGCCTTTCGGAGAGTTGGTGGGGACTCCTTTCCATTTCCCAGCAACGGGAACGAAGCCTTCATCCTCCATCATATAAGGAGGAGTGGATGAATGAGTTGGGGGTGTTGACGGGTGGGCAAGGGATGGAGGGATATGGGTCTGGGGCAGAAGGACTTCCGGATTTCCATGAAGCAAATCTTCCGGGGGGGATTGGAAAGGTGTTGTGATGGGAGGGGGTTTGTCGGGCTGGTCGGGCCCGGAGTAGGCACTTTCACTCCATGAGAGTTCAATCCTCACCCTTTGTTGGTGATACCCCGGCCCATTCGGGTGCTTCTCCGATCTGCACGCAACCTGCGTGGCCTCAAGAGGGCCCGCCGCGATGCCCAGCTGGCAGTACTAGGCACCACAACTTTATACACGAGGCGATAGTACAGCCTCCCCGGTGGCTAGTCCGGGGTTTGGGTCCCTGTACTACTTCGTGGCCCGGGAGTGCCGTTAGCTAGTTTTCCTCCGATACCCTCCAGGACAGGTTTCACGGACACCCAAAGATACCGGGAAATTCTCCTCTCCGGAAGATAATTCTATGTTGTATGCGTAGTGTTTTGTGCACGGTATTTTGCATTTGTTACTTTCGGGTTCCGAGGCCCTTGGTCGCGTGCATCGGACCTATGTATCAGTGGTGCTGTGACAACAGGAGCCCTGAACATCCCCCGACGTGCAATACTGTATGAGGGTTTGGACATCCTCCGATGTGCAATGGTGTATGAGGGCCTGGACAGCGAGGGCTGCACACTATGTGCCCCGCCTTGTACCCACGTGTGAAGTGTGGCAGTGTTGTGTCGGTACTGGGGCGTCATTTCCAGTACGTGAGACCTTGAGTTCCCCTCAAGAACCTTCATAGGGGCGGTAGCGCTAGGGTGTATATAATTTCCTAATTTCGTGGTCCGCTTGACCAATTAAACATTACAATTAATTAAGGTTTTTCATCTCAACTAAAAACCTTAATTAATTTTGGTGTATATAATGTTAATGTGCTTTTGTCAGTGTAGGTGTATATGTGTGTGTTATGTATGTGAACGCAGTTTACCCTCATTCCCGGGAGGTGTTAATTTATAATTATTAAATGTATTTTTCTCGGCAATGCAGTAAACTCGCCTTTATGCATTTGAAAGTTGATCGAAAAAGGCTTTCTAAATACAAAATTAGTTCTCGTTGTGACAAAGGAGACCAGATCTTTGTTTATGACAATAGCCAACAATATTGGCTTTTGAAACACACATGAAACATAATTTAAATTCTAATTTAATTCAAGAGATCGATGGAAATAGTTAATTCAAATTATTCAATATAGCATGGTTTTAGCAATTGCCGTCATGTTTGTCTTATTAATTAGCATAGACTGATTACAATGTAACACCCCTGTTTTGCATACGACCGCCTCCCGATACTTTTTCATACTTTCACATTAAAATCGTATATTTTCTCCTTTGGCGAAGGAAAGAAAAATGATAAACCTTGGAATTATCCAAGGTATGTGGTTTATATGCTTCTTTCCTTTGTTTTACACCAAGGCATCATTACAATTTAAGACACGGAGATCCCTAGAACAAATTGTCGTATCTTGGCCAATTCCTAATACGAATTCAAATCTGACGATTTACAATAAAATGATGCAGCTTGGCGACCTGAATGTCCCTAATACATTTTTCAATTAACGATGAGCTTTGGTCGAGTATTGCACCCTAGAAACTCAATCGCATCCTCCCATTCATTTATTACTTCATGCTAAAATTCCATCTGTTCAAAAGGTACTGTCATGTAAAAAGGTATGTATCCTTCTCCTCCGTCCCCTAATCCGAAGCGGGAGTTCCGCAAGGCAGCATCCTCGGTCCATTTCGCTTTTATAGACTGCATACATTATTGCCAATCCCCATACTCTTCCAGGCCCTGTTGAAAATATCGGTTCAAGGAGTGGAGGATCAGACTCAACGAAACCAAATACCAAAAAATAACATTCACCCTCTGTCATATCACCTATCTTCCAATCTATAACTTTGTTCCTCTCCCACCAACAAGAAATGTCTTACTTGAAGCGATATAACCCTCTTAAAAAACATAATAATAGGTGGAAACTGTCAGTATAAATCAAACATCTCATTTAGACATCACAACTGCAACCAATCTGTATAAAATTGAATTCTGGGGTTCAACCAAGCGTTCAAAACATTCAAAAAATCACTCCAGTACAAAATACTTCAAACCATTGCTAACCATACTTCGTATCCAATCATATTAACACAGACCTTCAAATCCCATTTGTTCTCCGTACCGCTGGAAGTCGGTACTGACGATTCCATACCCTGGACCTTCATCCCAACCTACCTAGACGGAAATGAATTGTAGGGTTCAACTAAGCATACCAACTTCCAAAGAATCACTTCTATCCAAAATCATATGAACCACTGCCCAAGCTCTCCAGTCTGAATCCAACGTTACACCTTACAGAACATTAGATCCTATTTGTCCTCGAAAAACCTTTTCACCCTCAACCCTCATCCCAACCTATTTGAATGGAACTGAACTGAGCGGTTCAACCAAGCATGCAAAGATTCACTTCAATGCAAAACCATTCGAAGCACTGCCCAAGGCTCCCTACCTCGTAACCAACCTTACTATCCACATAGAGCTTGAAGTCCCATTTGTCCTCGAAACTGCTAGAAATTGATTTACACTAATTCCATACCCTAGAACTTCGTCCAATTCTACTCCAACAATCAGCAGTGAAAATTTAACAAACAAAGACCTTTTTTCTTAAACATCACCTCGATATTTATTGGTTTTGTTTTTGTTACAGGAAGCGCACAATATGGTGAGGGAAGCCAACATAAGACAGGCCGTGGCGGAAAAATCTCTCAAAGAAACTCTAATGCAAGTCGACGTGCTGTCAGCAGAAGTCATCGCTTTGAAATCGTTGGTCCTGACGTCCACGCCGAGTTGTCCCAATCCTCACTTGCATCCACAAATATGCAAGGACGAAGGTAGAGTCTGATGTAAATGGAAAATATTTTGAAAAACATGTAAAATTCTACAATGATAATGATTTTCTTAATTACTCTGGGTAGAAAGATAATCGATGAACTGTTTGGTAGTTTGATCAATATTGTTCTTCTCCGGTCCGCCTTCCCTCGCTATTGTCCTAAAACTTGGGTGACGTTTCCACACAACTCCGCTGTATATGGACGAAGATATTAACAACGTTATTTAGAAAAAAATGTCAATACTTAACTAACATTTATTGAGTTTGAAAGAGGGTCAAAGGCGCGCGCCTCACACACACTCGCGGGGTTTTTCCTTTCCAATATTTTCTTCTGGCAGGAAAGTAGAAAACAGGGTGAATGTAAAAGATGGACATTAACAAACAAAAAACCATTCATTTTGCTTCATTTCCACCCGGAAAATATCCTGTTATCTATATTATGAGCTAATTATATTCTTATCCTGAGAAAACAATAATCTCTTCATCAAAAGAATATGTAATAAAACATGCAATATTTGTCGTTTGTTAGATGTCAACTTAGCTTTTCCTATTAATGCCTTAATTTTATTAATGCTTTCTTTCGTTTTTGTAGCTTCTCGCTTTTCGTGATTTGATGTTTTGGATCAGGGCCAAACATCGAGCGAATTCCCCTCTTATGTTTTCCTATAATTTATTGAGAAAACTATAGCTGTTTCATCAGTTAATGATCGCACTTTTTCGTAACGCTTCAAACGACTTATTTTCCGTTCTAAAGGCCTTCTTCCGTGTTCATTAATTCTTTACACGACTAAGTCTAGTACATTCAATGCAACTAATATTTGTTTAACCTCTTTTTTCCCCTTTAACCTGTTCTCATGGCATACTGCGACTCAAGCCTTTGCGGTCAGAAGTTTCGGATAAAAATGATTCAAAATGATCGGAAACGACATTGGTACATCATTCAAATCCATACGACGAAAAGAAAATTTAACAATTTTTTTAAAATATTTATTTGTAGCCTATACATCTCTTTCAGCTTATACAAATTTGTATATATTATACAAACACTAATGCCAGCGCTGCACCTGGAGTACAGATGCCATGTGAAAGCAGACGGTGTTTGATTTAGGCGACCTGGCGGGTTCTCGGGTTGGGAATATGTAAAGAGGGCTCGAGTAGGGTTAGGGATGGATCGAAAGGTTGGTGTGAAATTTTAGAATCGGGAACGAATCATTTCATTGACAAAAAGAATGTTGAGGTCATTGTGGATAGTGAGGTTAGTGCCGTAGTAAGGAGCGTTAACGATTTTTCTGCGGACTTTTGATTGGAACATTGGATGCGCTGGATGATTGATTTGGCAGTACCGCACAGTTCCATCCGTATGTCCAAAGTGGTAACAGTAAAGTCTTTTGTAAAGTTAGTTTAGTGTTGACGGTGAAGACGGATTTCGATCCTAGAAGTCTTCGTAATTGTACAAGACTTCAGTTAAGTTGTTAGCTTTTAAGTTTTGTGTGGGGATTCCACGTCAGTCTGTTGTCTAGGGTATAGTTGTAAATATTTGACTTGACTGGAAGTCGTTATCTCTTTTTTGTTTATGATATGCTCGATTTGGATATTGGAGGTATATAAGGTAGCTTGGATAGTATTCCAGTTAGAGGACAAAATCGCGGTAACGTCCGCGTAGGTGATGATGATAAAGGGTGGGACCAAAAATGCTCCCACGTCGAACGCCGGCTTTGTTTCGGCCTGATAACAAATATTTTTCTTTAATTGTCAAAAACAATACATGTAAATTATGTATTCATGACATAAACGCGAACAAAGTACGTATTAAGTAAGTATTAAAGCTTGCTTTCACAAAATGACAATTTAAAAAAATCGTACCGATATAATTGAAAAGCCTTTTTAATGGAAAATCCTTCATAAATATTTGATATAATCTAATCAGTTTTTGTTTCGAATGTCCTCACCAGTTAACTCAAAACGAGCTAAAATTGATGGATTTTAACATTAAATTACAATGGGTTAAAAGTGCTTTTGAACTTTTTGAGAAAACCTGAAAGTAAGTCAGTTAACGAACTTTTGTAGCGAAAGTAAAAGTACAAAGTCGTTTGAATTTTAGTAAGCGCAGTGAAATTTAGAAAGAACTCCATTAATTCAATTAGAGCTTTCACCCTTTAAACCCCGCTCATCTATGATCTTAAAGAAAACAACGTTTTAGTTTCCTGTCATTATATGAAAAACGAAAAAAAATATTTAAAAAACGTATAATTTTTTAATTAAATAGCAGATTTATTTCGGTATAAGCCGTCAACTTCGACTTGTAGATTAAAGAGTTAATCCTGAGTTGCATATTATCCAAGCAATGCACCTAGTAAAATGTTGACCTTTTAAAAACTGTTCTGGTCCCATAAAAAGGAATTCTGTGAGTACTTGGGCAGATACGTAGATGTCGTTTTAATGATTCAGCAGGCGAAGGAACAAAATGGGGGAAATGAACGGTGCCTTGTGTGAAATATACCGCTACTAGACACTGGCTGAAGGAAAATTGCTCTAATCTTTTTTTTTTTTTTTTTTCAAAATAACTAAATTATAAACCAATGAATTTTAATTTAGAACCATTTCTAGGTTACATCTAATTTTTTTAAATCAACCTTTTCACATTTGTTCATAAAGATCGGTAATCTCCATGCAAATCGGTTTTTACTCGACTTCCTTCGACTTCAGTCATACGTCACTTACATTTTCACCCAAAATTATATCATTCACACAATACTATGTATTGTATGAGATTTTAGACATTATGAAACTGGATAATAAAGTAGGAACAAACTGCGAATCCTAATAGGATTCTTAACAAAACACTGCAAGCTAAATGGACACTTAAAGAAGATTGGATTAAAGAAGGATTAAAGGATTAAGATTAAAGAAGAAATAATCCAAGACGGCACATGCAGATTCTGCAAAGAGGCAGAGGAGACACCAACCCATCTATTAACAAACTGCGGTGCTACACTTGCCCGCAGGAGGAAGTGTTTTGGGATGTCTAATGTGACCAAAGAAGAGTTTCAACCACTGAAACCGGGCCTATTAATCAAGTTTCTTGATGCAATAGGACTCACCGATGTGCTTTAGGCAGTGAACGGGCGATACAATAGTTCTTAAAGTGCGCAGTATATTACACCCCGAATATTACATATACACCTACAACTGGATTATATAGTACACTACGGTTTAAGTATAAACTCAAAAAACGTCAGTGAATGCATCCAGCATCTCCAAACCTTAGGGAAACGTAATAACCTAATGACATCTTGGGTGCCAGGAGACAAAGGAAGTTTACAGCCAAACTCCAGGAGGCTCTGCAAGACCATCCACAGGGTGTCCTTTTTAGATGGACCAGCTGAATTTCTATTGAACCAATGACGCTATAAAAAAGTTTTTAATATTTTTTTTTCTAGTTTCAAATTTTGACCTCTTTTTGGAGAAAAATTATACAGGGTATCTCAGGCCCAGTTCAACTTCGAAATTTCCAACACAACCCTACACATAATATTAAAGGATTTTTACGTTGAAAACAATGTGTGGTGATTAGTGANAATAAAGATCGAAACGTTGGCACGATAAAGAAAATGTTTTTCTGAAACCTACATCACACCAGACCGCATCTCACGATTTCTAAATAAATAAATGTTGAAAACAATGGTACCATCGATTTTTATATTGGTCCAAAACTGACAAATGTATGGCAAAAAGTTTGAAAAAAACCAGCCATTTGGTTTGCTATTTATTAATCACATTTCATGTACGAATTGCCTGCCTTGCGTAAAGATGCAAAGATTTGCTCTTTTTAACCACTCTTCACCGGTGCTCAGAGCGATAGAGTCAGGGGAGATGGATTGTCAAGAATTTTCTATCCTTTGCAGCAGTTCTTCAACTTGCTGGGTTATGATGGGCGTAGACAGTGTTTTTTAAATGGCTTCACAGAAAAGACCAACAAATCGGGCCATGACGTCCTATCCACCCATCGCCGAAATGACGATTCAATAACGTCTCACCTGCAAAGCATTGTGTGCGGGGCATCCATCAAGCTGGAGAATCATTCTTTGTCGGCAGAGGAACATCATCTAATAGTGTTGGTAAAACCTCCCTTTAGGTAAAGGGCAGATTCTTCATTTTACTTTCGTTAGCCAGTTTATCACCCTTCTCGTTGTTCTGTTTTCCCTCGTACACAAACAAGGTTTTATTTTCCTCAATGTATTGTTCAGCCTTGTTTCTCCTGCTCCGTATGCCTCCGTATTCTGTTGTTGAGGTGAGAATGTAGCTTAACATTTTTCTATTTCAAGTAAGGACGCAAGGTAGTAAAAACTATTACAAATTTACAATTTATCTGGTTTGTTTTATTGATAGTTTAAATTTGAGCTAGTTATAATAACATGTTCGGCCAACTTGGCAATAACTGCACTCACCTTTTACAAAGTTTAATTTTAAACCTAAATGCAGTTTATTTTAATACATTCAAGATGTAATTATTTCCTTGAACGTATTGTATTATCTAACAATTATTTCATGTTTAACCTTTTAACACGGGTGTACAGACATTGACCGATGTGGGCATGAAGTTTGTCAAAGGTTGATAGGAAAAAAAAGAATCGAGCTAAATCGGACATGAGATGTATCCGCAAATTATTAAACATCTGTCGAGACATTAATGATCTTCTCTTCATCTTCATAAATCGTAAATGTCTACTGACTCGTAATTGTTTTAACCAGCTGTGTGCTGGAGGTCACACACGGTCTTCAAATTTATGTTGTGCCCTATAACACTCGCATAATTCAATAATCATTATATAATCCAAATAAATAGGATACCTCCCTACTTATGACATGTAAAAATAGTTGAGGTTTAGTTTAAAAAGTCATCATTTTATTTCGTTTCTGTAACAGAAAATTTGTTTCGAGTTGATTTGTAATTTCTCTATATTGAAGCGGATCGTTTTGGATTTAAAAGGCCTGGGAGGTGGGAAAAGTCTGAAAGAGTTTCTTTAAATCAACGTCCGTTCGCCTTAGTCGTTGAAGTGGAAGGGGAAGATTCTTTTGAAATACGATCAAGAGAGGGCCAGCAATTTAAAGACCAGCACGTTTCGTCCGTGACTGCCACTCTTCACGCTCGCGTTCCTAACATATTTATTTCTCCATGGGCTGTAATATAGTCAGTGTTCTCAACACTTCACCCCTGCCTATACAGATGTAAGCCGGTCTCCGTCTTACAATTTTAGAAAATTTAAACTGGCCACGGATCAAGCGGCGTTGAAATGGATGTTGAGCTTAAGGGATCCATTTTCACGATTGACAAGACCCCAAGACCTCAATAATTCGAGTATGAGGTAGAACATGAGCCAGGGCGGAAACGCACCAACGCAGATGCATTAAGTAGAGGAGTAGGACAAGTTATCAAAATACAGAAACCGTCGTCAGTAAAATAATCTGGGAAGAACGGAAAAAAGATTAGTGGTGTCGAAGATTAGCCGACAATGTGGCAGAAGGTATTATCGATGCAAAGGGGCATTTATACCAATGCGCCGACTTAGAGGATCCAACGACATGGAGACTGGCGATCCCGGAATGTTTGAGGAAAATAGTGTCACAGTTCTCCCTGGGCAGAACACCCAGGCAAAGATAGAACAACGATGCTCGTAAGAGGTTCATATTATTGGCCTACATTGATAAAAGACACGGAGGAATTCGTGAAAGGCTGTATTTCCTGTCAAAAAAGAAAATTTCCGATAGCGTGGAAAGTTCCGCTAGAGGCATCCTTTTCCACTCAGAGCCGTTTGGGCAGGTTTCGATGGATATTCAAGGACCTTTACCTAGAAGTAAGAGCGGATTCCGGTACCTATCCGATTCCTACGGATCCCAGTAATCGACAATTTTACTCGTTATGCAGAGGGTATACCCCTTAGGGAGCAGACTGCACAGCAAACCGCAAAAGCGGTGTGGAAGCTATTGTGCTTCGTCATAGTGCCGAAACGATTGCTAACGGTTCAAGGTCGCAATTTTGTTTCGGGTGTCTTGAAGGAAGTTTGCCGTGTATTGGGTATGAATAAATTGCAAACTACGCCCTATCATCCCGAAGGAAATGGTATGATAGAGAGGCTTCATAGGACCCTTACGGATTCCATAGCTCACTTCGTTCGACGAGATGGGAAAAATTTGGATAGAAGGGTGTCGTACGCTTTTACGGCCTATCGAGCGCAACTACACTCATCGACTGGATAATCTACAGACTATCTCCTCTATGGGAGAGAAGTGACCACTCCTTCAGAGAGCCTGGTAAGACCTGCAACAGACGAGGGAGAGAACCCCCGTTTGAAGGGTTACACATAAGACTAGAGAGGCCTATAAAGAGGCTCGGGAACGCATGGAACGGACTTGGAGAAACAAATTATCCATATTATTTTTAGAATAATAAGATGGATAGTTTAATTATTTTTCTTCCCTCCAAGGGGCAATTTTTTTTACTCTAAGGGACCAAACATTATTATTATTCAGGGGTCAAATATTTTTTGAGCTAGCTTCGCCAAAAATTGCAATGCCTTTCTTACTTAATTCCAGTTATGTAGTATGTGCATAAATTACTACTACTACTATATGTCTTTATTGTTTAATATATATATACAAAGTTTACAGATCGGCATTATATATTACAAAGCAAAAAAGACATTCCTCATGGTTTAAAACCGTCTGAGGGATAAATAAACGATATAAAAACCATCCTCTGGGTATGAANCACATCGAAATATACTAGACACATGACCCAGAAAGTCCGCAATAAAATATTAAATATTTTGTTGTATTTTGACTCTGTGAAAAGCTAAAAGTTAATGTCAACAATTGTTAATTGATAAAAAAAAAGATGCCAAATTTAGATTTTTTACTGCTTTTTTGCTACTTTTTTCTTCTTTCGATTCCTAATGCCATTCTTGTATTACATACAGACGATAATTACGAACAATTTTAAATTACAAACATATTTCATATTCAGAGGATGGTTTTTATATCGTTTATTTATGCATATACTACATAACTGGAATTAAGTAAGAAAGGCATTGCAATTTTTTGGCGACGCTAGCTCAAAAATTATTTGACCCCTGAATAATAATAATATTTGGTCTATTGGAGTAAAATATTTTTCGATGTATTAACATCCCTTCAACCTGAACAAGCCATTTGAAAAAAAAAAAGCTTTCTTAGATTAGTTCAAAGTTCGAGTCCTATTTTGCTGACAAGTATTTCCGAATTAAGCAAGAAGACTCCTATTCGGAATTCAAACTGGAGCGCCATAAGGCAGTGGCGCACTTCACGGTAATAAACGAGTAAAATACCACGACAACTTTTGCTTACGATCGTGTACTCAACCCTTCAATTTCCCGAAACCATAAATGGTCATCAAAGTAGGGAAAAGAGGTGAATGAAGAAAATTTGTACGAGTGGTCTTCAACAATCGGAAAATTAATACCAGTCCGCCTCAACGGTCTTGAAATCCTACGCCAACGAGGTACCTTTGTATAATGATGATGGTGATGAAGTCTTTTGACATATAGTCATCAGAGCCAGTGAGTACGTTATCAACAGTTAGTTCCTGGAGTGGAAGAGGGTTTATGGCATCCAGCTCTGTGCCAGGAAGATGAACCGGAGAGTCGTTGAAATGGGATTGGTTGAGATAAAGTCGAAGTCACGATAGCTCAAGTGGTAGAGCAGCGGCTGATTGAGCCGAAGGTCGTGGGTTCGAATCCCGCTCGTGACACTGACTTTTTTATCTCAACCAATGCCTTCCATAACTATTAATCTCTTGATTTGTATTGAATGTTTCCGTATTTAATTAAATAAATAAATGAGCCTTGGAAACGGTTATAAACAGTTTCGGTGTGTATGTATAACAATGCTTTGATCAAATTTATCTGTTTGTACAGGAGGAATCTTCAAGAGGCATCGACGATCTCCGTCCCATTTCAACTTGAAATACGGCCGGGAAAATTCTCCTCCTGAGTCGCCGGTTAAGGAGAACAAACTGTCTTTAGAATCCGCCGATCCGAAAGAAACTGCATTGGAGGTAATTCATGTTTCTTTTACATTTTAGAGTTTTCGGAATTAAAGGGACTGCATAGATTTTAAATTTAGTGCGACTTTGTTTAACCCAATTTGACGGAATGTAGTATTAATTGAACTAACCACATGCTGGGATACAATAGCTCTTAAAGGACGCAGTATACTACACCGAGAATATTACATTACATTATTACAACCACATGCTAAAAGACACCCTGGTAGTTGTAAAAGTGACGCAAGATAAATTGAAAATAGCTTTCCCTTTATAAAACAATAAAAACACATCTAGCATTCCGAAACAGTATTTTGAACCCTTGACATTTTATGTAGGATGTTGAAAGAAGTTTAAAGTTAGGACTTAACTATCTAACTAGTTGCATCGTTAGAAACGTACAAGGAGAAGTTCAACGATTTTAATTAAACTTTTGTGGGCGCTAATAGGTTGAAAAATATTATACAAGCGTGCGAGAGGGACAAAAAACATTAATATTTCACTAACACTCTCAGCACGACGCGAAACAACGACACATCTACACAGAAAACACTTTGAGTGAGTGCAAATACTTTGATTAAACCTAAAATTTCTATATTGTGTATATCTTTGTATAAATCCATATTCATATCTTATATGCATTTGTATAATTTAAACAATGTTTATAAATCACAGGCCCCGAAGATGAACGCAATACAGATTGAAACGTTGGCACGATAAAGAAACTGTTTTTCTAAACCTACACCACACCAGACCGCATCTCCCGATCTCTAAATAATCGTTATTACAACCATTGGAAAGTAGAATATTTCTTTTTCCATGCTATATCAACAACCTTTGGTTTCAATATCAATATATTNAGGCTAATCGTACGAGTAAGGCAAGGATATTTGAGGATTGTGGTTATTATACTATTTAAAGAATTGCTGATTAAGATGATGGGCCGCCGTCTGGACCCGCCAGACTTTGCTGACGTGTTGGTCTGAGGGGCGTTTGGTTACTCCATAACTCCGATTTCACTTAAACTCGAAAAACTTCTTTGATTTGTATGTACTTTGGTTGGTACAACGATTTACTAAATATATAAACGTTCTAAAATTTTATACCGTTAGGATAGTATAATAAATTAATCATTAAATTTGTTTTCCCGCAATTTAACGGTCCACATATTAAACATCCCACGCTATCTGGAAAAAGTACACCATGCTTCGAAATCGTTCCTATCTTAGATTTGCCTTCTCCACCTTCTAATCCCAGAGTAACTTGTTTCTTTATTAAACGCATCTTTTAGTCTAGATAAAACGCAAACAATAAACCTTTTTATACTTTTCTGATGATATATTGTTTTTCTTTTCTTATAAGTCATTTAAATTTGGGTTCTTAGTGATTTCCTATAGGACGGTTCGAAAGTATAGAACAAAAACATCATTTTCAACAAACCGTTATTAACAAAATACGATCAGTTTTTGCACATGAATATATACACTAAAAGATCTCTTACGTGACGTCATCTGAGTCGTAGGACGCCTGCAAGTAACATAAACGTACAAGTCTAAAGTTATAAGTTTGGAACACCAAAGTCCGTTTTGAAAAAAGATTTATTTGCTTTAAAACATACAGAGAATACAGAGAAGATTACAGAACAGAAAAGGCGAGAGATTCGTCAGAAGATGTACGTCCGAAGAACGGGGAGGAATACGCGCTGTTTAAGATAAGCGCCGGGTTTATATGAAGTCGTAATGCAGAGTCAGCTGGGGCAGTTCCTTCAACTCTTAACTTAAGACATGCAAAACTATATTCGGTGGGGGTAATCGTCATGCAAGCTGTTACAAATTTCTCAATCGTCATTCTACTACCTGAGATTGAAGAATTCACACGTATTCCTAAGTTAATATATATTCATTGCACTACACGCTGGGATATACCATACTATAACCGATCATATTATTTGCAGCAAATTATCAAAAAATAATAATTTACAAAAGAATCCCAATAAACAACAGTAGGAGATGTCTTACGGACGGATAAATAATATGTCAATTAATGTGTTTGGTCTTACTTCTACAAATCGTATTTATCCTCTTAAAGTTACAAAAACACAACTTCAAGATCATAGGGATTTATTACTAATATCTAATGATCAGGGTACAACACACTACGTTTACATAAAAGATCTTGAAAAATTAGTTAGAAAACAATTAAGTGCATCGACTAGAAAATGCTTAGTGTGTAAAAGGTGTTTTACACATTACCTAGAATGTCACGGGGTCTTTGCCGCAGAAAAAATGGTGAAACATAAGATTTTTTGTGATAATAACGCTGAGAGCAGACTTACCATATAAAAAACCGTTCATAAAGTTTGAAAACATTGATCGATATGTTAAATTACCATATGTGGTTTATGCAGATTTCGAATCAATTCTCAAGCCGTTACATTCCAGTAGTCATTCAAATAAAAGTTCTTATACTAATGCATGGAACAAGCATGAACCCATGAGTTTTTGTGTTTTTTTGCAACAGTCGAACGATATTAAAACAATCCCGAATTCACTTCCAACTAGGCTTGTATATACTTAGAGGACCGAATGCCGCCGAAAAATTTGTCCAGTACATCGTAAGTCTAGCAAAAGAAATAAGATATATATATGAAAATTCAAATCTATCGATACATATATCATTGTCTGAAGAAGTGAATTTTTCAAAATGCTACAGTTTGTTATTTATGCGATAAACAATTTACGGCCTTCGATGAAAAAGTGTGGGACCACTGTCATTTAACATATCATTTTAAATATCATTCCTCACTCTGAGGAAAAATTTATTACTTTTAATAAACGGATTAATAACAGTTTTGTAGTAAGATTCCTTGATTCTTTCAAATTTTTACCTAGAAGTCTTTCGTCGCTTGCACAAAATTTACCATCCTTAAAGAACGGCACGCTATTTTTTAACGAGGATAATTTAATGTTGATTAGGAGAAAGGGTGTATTTCCTTACGAATATATAACGTCTTGGGAAAAGTTAGATGAAACATAGGGTTCACGGGGTCTGACAACCTCGCCACCTCCACCTCCCCTCCACAAACACCTCTCTCATGGAACGCACATAGGGCTCACGGGGTCTGACAACACCTCCACCTCCACCTCCCCTTACAAGCACCTCTCTCATGGAACGCACATAGGGCTCACGGGGTCTGACAACACCTCCACCCCCACCTGTGCCAGAACATATACATTTTGTCTACTCACGTGTCTAATATTTTTTGAACTAGTGTCCCCAAAAAAAAGTTTAATTGACCGTTCCCAAGCCTCTGATTATGTACTTTAAGTTCATATAAGGGTCGACACACGTACAATGTGATCCTCAAGTTATTACCAATATACAGTTGTTTTCAAAAATTATGATAGTATGCCAGTACTATTAATAATTATCATTTATGATTCTTTCCATAATTATTGTTTATTAAATTAAATTAACCAGATCTCTGTTTAAATGAAAACATATGGTTTATTTTCTAAGCGACATTTCGCATGGCCGAGCAATTGACTAGGGTACCGTTCACTTTATTATTGCCCTGTGCGCGATGCGTGAAGCCCTAATAAATTGAATTATAATAGTCAATTGCCAACACAGTCTTCAAACAATCCTAATCCTCAATCGGTTTAAGGTACATTAAAAGAGTATGTTAATTATGTTATATAAAGCGGTATGGAGAAAGGTTTGCTTGCATATTATATATACTATATATATATCGAAACGTTAGCACGATAAAGAAAATGTTTTTCTGAAACCTACATCACACCAGACCGCATCTCACGATTTCTGAATAATCATATATACATTTAGGTTCCTAAATTTAAAAAAGTGCCATGGGTAGAAAAATTCTATAAAATAAATGCAAGCTGTTCGAAAAATTGCATTAAGGTACAGCAAAAACTTTTTCGTCTTCAATTTAATAATAGCAATTTCATTTTGTACTTTAATTGTTAAAATTAAATGTATTTCTAATTTATTATTAGGAAATTAAGACCTATTGCAATTTATAACGTCTATAATCTAAAATTTATACAATTAAAATAATATACTAACAAGTAGTAGTAATAAACACTAAAAAGAAAATATATATGGTTCATCATATTTCTTAGTATTATGACAGAAATTATATACAATGAAGGTGTGTGTTGGCGTTGTAGTTCAAAATAAAAAAGATACAGAAAATATTGGGTTGATTAATGATGAAGTACACCGAAAATCAGCTTTTGATAAATAAAGGTTTATTCCGTCAATGCCAGTCACTTGATAAGACTTATGAGTAACAAGAAAACAAGAGGTAGGATTTAGCTATATCATTTTCTCAGTTAAATCTTTACATTGTTTAGTTGCAATATCTACAAACGTTCGATCGTGGATTCAAGGTAAGGCTGAAAATATATTTCCAGTTTTAAATCATCGAACTGTTATTCAACTTCTTGATAACTCGCTGATAAATATAATGTCTAAACAAACAATTTTATGCACATTTTTTTTATTTTCCATTTCTGTCATAAAGCTGTCTGTCTTAAATCGATTAAAATAATTGTTCATTCATAATTGCTAATTTCTTTTTAGGTCGACAATGTAGTCCATAAGGAATTTCTCGCGTGGAAAGAACAGCCCACATTAGATAAGACTGATACTTTCATAGCAAGGGTTTATCGTGAAGATATAAACTACTGCTTAGATTTTCGGAACGAAGAATTGGGAAAACAAGTGAGGGAGGCCGTCGAGACAGGCGAGATTTTTATCGAAGCCGTCGGCGACAAGGCGAAAACAAACTTCCCCAAGTAAGTCCTGTACTATTTATTATTCATCACAACGTGAAAAAAAACTTTGACGTCTAAAGTTTCTTTTTTTTTCAGAAAATGCGCTTTGCTGGAGACTGTTCGCCATTGCCAGTACAGACTGAGGCTGGGAAACAGCGACACTTGGCACTCGATATCGCACATGTGTCGCAACAGGGTAAGCAATGTAAAAGTGTTTTTTCTACCAAAAAAGGACAATTTAAACATTTTTAAACGTTTTCAAAGTACGATAGTTTTCTCATAATATGTGGCCTCTTGCACCTCGCCCTAAATAGATCTGTTGTGTCTCCCTACTGATAAAGCCTAATAGTCAGCTTTAAGCCAGAAACACACTTACCCGATGCTACGCCATGCGACGCTACCCGATGNTTAAAAATATATTATGTTAATTCAATCTTGTTGTTTTTATTTATTCTACCCCAATAAAACCCATGAAAGATGTAAAAGCATCGTAGCGCTAACTTCACGGAGTGGACAGCGCATGCGCATACATGCTGTAAACGGCGTTATTATGAAAAAAAATTAAAATTAAGAAAAACAACTACGATATTTACTAACTAGTATTTAAGTAGAAATCGAAAATGAAACCATATCAAAACATTTCGTCAACACCCTTATTTTTAATCAAAATTAACAATTCCGCAATGTGGTCGCCATTTCTCACACACTATCTGGCAACACCGCCACCCTCCTCCGACAAACACCTCTCGTTGAACGCATATAGAGCTCACCAGGTCTGACAACGTCGCCACCTCCACCTCCCCCCACCCACACACACCTCATGGAATGCACATAGGGCTCACGGAGTCTGGCAACACCTCCACCTCCCCCCACCACTAACACCTCTCTCAAGGAACACACAGGGCCCATGGGATCTGACAACACCTCCACCCCCACCCACACACACCTCATGGAATGCACATTGGGCTCACGGAGTCTGGCAACACCTCCACCTGCCCCCACCACTAACACCTCTCTCAAGGAACACACAGGGCCCATGGGATCTGACAAAACCTCCACCTCCACCTCCTCCTGCGGTAGAACATATACATTTTATCTACTAACAGTCAATGATCTAATACTTCTGAGAAGAAAGGCTGAGTCGATTGCACTGAAACCCCGATTCCTTGTATCCTCAAAATCATCATCATTATGTGGAGAATGGTTGCTCCTTGTGTATCGTAATTAAATGTAATCGATCCTAATTGAAGAGTGCAACTCTTTGGCTTTATTTATTTTATTTATTTATTTATTTACAGTCCAAACAGGTTAGGTACCCAAGCATAGGACAGTCAAGTAACACAACAAAACAATCGTTATATAAAATACTAAAAAAGGGTATAAATATAATAGCAGTAAAAATAACAGCAAAGAGGCACACTTTTAACAAAAAATCAATATTATGAATAGAATAATAAACAACACAACAAAAGTAATAAATAAACCCTCAATTACATTTTAGCGCACGTTTAATATTTTTTTTAAAGATCTGAAAGTGACGAGGAGAAGGGGTCCGTACTGATAGAGAGTTTATTTAAGTAATGCACAGCTGTAGAGATTGAAGACTGTAACCCGTATTTGGTCCTGTGCCGTGAAGTACCAAACAATTCATGGGTCCGTAGTTGACGCTGGGGAACCCTAAAGCCAATACAAGATAATATCTCCGGGGAATCAATAAAATTATTTAGGATCTTCCAAAGAAACACAACTGAAGCAAAAACTCTTCTATCCTCCAGAGAATCCAGGCCTACGAGAGCAAGTCTGGCTTCATAGGAGCAATGATGGTAGTTCCTGTGATTGCATAATTTGTAATACAGGTATTTCGTGGCCTTTCTCTGTACCCTTTCTATCATGTAAGACCCATCTAAAGAACTCGGCGACCAAACAACACTGGCATACTCTAGGTGACTGCGCACCAGAGATTGATAGAGTAATTTTATTGCAAAAGGGTTCTTAAAGTCAGCAGTTTGCCTGAGTACGAATCCTAAATTTTTAAAGGATTTATTTCTAATGGCATGGATATGGTCCCGAAAATCACAATTCTTATTAAAAATAACCCCGAGATCCGAGATAGTATCTACCTCGTCAATGTGATAACCTTCGATACTATAAACGAATTGGTCGTAATCGTGAATTATTTTTTTCTTGCTGAACTTCAAAATCTTACATTTATTTTCGTTTAATTTCAAATTATTACGCTTACACCAAAGCCAAAAGCGACTCAAGTCATTTTGCAAGAGAATACAATCATTCAACGATTCGACAGGGCGATAAATTTTCAAATCGTCTGCTAACAATGAAAATGAAGAATTAATGAGAGCAGAGTCGACGTCATTAAAAAATAAAAGGAATAAGATCGGACCAGAATGAGAGCCCTGAGGTACACCAGACCGTACGTGGACAGGTTTCGATAAGCCCTCACCAAATCTCACAACAAAAGACCTCTCAGACAAGAAGGAGTCTACCCATCCCAGAAGGGGTTGGCCCACACCTAGTTTCTTGAGTTTTCTGACCAGAATGAGACGATCCACACTATCAAAAGCCTTTGATAAATCCGTATATACCGAGTGAACACATTTACCGAGCTCTAGATTATTTAAAATGTATTCTTTATAGAGAACAAGGTTCGTAATACAGGAGCGTCCTTTCATGAACCCATGCTGCTGTTTCAGAATAACATGCTTAAACGAGGAGCACAAAGCATCAGCAATAATGGAATCCATGATTTTCGGAATAATCGAACATTTGTTGATAGAGCGATAAATTTATATTAGTTTTGTGCACCGAGCGTGTGTTGGGAGTGAATGTACTTATTGGCGTAAATATGCAGTGCGAAAGGGCTGATGGCGGAATGTTGAGTACCTCATATGATCTTTAATTACGTTAGTTACATAATTTGTGTAATGGGTAATGTAGGAAAATCGAGTACTCCACCAACCTAATTGAGTAAATGGTATGTAAATAGAAACCATTAAAATGATTTAAAAATAAATAAAAACTAATGAATTTTTGATCAATTTGGTTTATATTAAAATAAGTTTGTTGTAATTAATATAACGACAATAATGCATGCAGTTTGAATAAAAATATTTGTGTCCGGTTCTTATGTCTTCGACTGTACTCGCTGCTACCCGACGAAAATCTGGATGGGGATCGCAGAGCGTAAAGTAGGGTAGCGTAGCATAGCATCAGGCAGATGTGCATGGAGGTAATACAACCTTATGAAAAATTGGACTTTGCATTTGCGTCGGGCCGCATCGGGTAGAGTCGCATAGCGTTGCATCGGGTGTGTTCCCGGCTTTAGGAACAGCATGTGTTGGGTGCTGAATTGACCTGGCGGTTGACATCACATAGAACCTGGACGGATAAAACCGAATTCTGACTGATTGCCAACACCCGAGGTGGTGATTGTCGGATCCTGTATATTATTTTATTGTAAATTATAAAACTGGAAGTGCTGGACTGCGAGAAATGATAGGCTGAACTGTGTACTGTGTGTATATACGTGGGCAAATTTGCGCTTAGATAAATGCCAATACAAATACAAATCCTAGATAACACTGGGTCCGTTAAATTTGGTTCGTTGCCCTCAGGACAATTTGATTCTTGGTGAAGTCGGACAATCAAAAAATAAACAATATGTTTATAAATACACTGACCATATAAAAAACTGATCGAGGTTTCCGTAAAAAGTGCAAAAATTGACGTTTTAAAATTTTTCAATTTACTGGTGTATGACTGAAGCTAGAAAACCATTATTAAAAAAAAAAAAAACTGACCATATAAAAAACTGATCGAGCTATTCGTAAAAAGTGCAAAAGCTGACTGTGTTAGATTTTTGAATTTACTGATGTATGACTGAAACTAGGAAACCATTATTTAAAAATAAAAAATAAATAAATAAAAAAATAAATTAAAAAAAAAATACACTGACCATATAAAAAACTACAAAACTAATGTGTTAGATTTTTGAATTTACTGATGTATGATTGAAGTTAGGAAATCATTTAAAAAAGCCATCTTGTTCAGAGTAAAATTTTCTAAGAAATGAGAGACCTAGCGCAGGTCTGTGACTTAAAAGTCTGAGAAAATTTGAATTTCCAAAGTAGCCCATTTTTTCGCACAAAAACCAGTGGTCGGTATTTTTGATGGGCAGTGTAAATAAAATGCTCATTAATATAATTTTCATTTATCGAATTTAATAAATCGTGTGAATACAATAACCATTATGTAATAAAAATTGAATAGTACTTTGTATAAATAGAACGGTCAAAGCGAGTGAAATAAGCAAAACACAAAAAAGAAAGACTGGACGATATACATTTACTAAAGTCGTACGAGCGTGCGTACAGAAGGCTTAAAAATTTCTTTGTTCTTTGTACTTCAACTCTCATTATTCTGGACATGAATAAAAAGTGAATAAGAAAAAAAGCATCCCCCTTCAAAAAATGAATTGCTAAAAAGAGTCACAGAGCATAAATATCCTCTTTCATGTTGTACAATTTAATTTTTGCGCTCATTGAACAATTGTCGTTTTTCACATTTATTCTTCAAATCTGAATTTTTTATAAATTAAATTATACAAATTAAATCGACAACTTGTTTGGAAAATTAATTCCTCTTAGAGTATTAAACTTACATTCATTTCATATTTATTGGAAGTTAATCACCCTACGGAAATTCCAATTTCATTGATCGGGGCCATTTCTGACTGGCGTAGTTTACCGACATTTCAAGGGGTTAGAGGCAATTAGGAGGAGAGTAAAAAAAAGGCTTTCAACCGAGAATGGTAATTTACGCTCGGTAATGCACCAATCGGTTTAGAGTAAAAGCTCGAGATAACAGCTCGCCTCCCATACAAACGAATCATAATAAAAATACAATCCTCGATCCAATTTCAGATACGGGGAAATGTAGACGAAAAATGTTTGACATGCAACGTCACGAGATAATTCGATCCTATTTTATGAAGAAATAGGGTAAAAGTTGAGCAGAATGTTGTGTACATTGAAGAAAATACCTCGGTAGAATGGTTATAAAGACTTTATGAATTGACGATTACTTAATCATTTATTAAACAATATTTACCTCATTTTCCTTACTCTCGTTTTACAAAAAATGATGTCATTTGAAGCTATAATTTCTAAAACTTGATCGTACATTCATACGTCAACGAATCTTTATTCGTTTTGGATTATGGAATATGTAGTTTGATCGGGTGAATTGAAGTACGTTCGGCTAGTGTAAAATGGTGAAATTGGAAGCGGCAAAATGATCCTATTGGACAACAATTAGGAGAAGAATATTTGGAAATCCGATCTTCCCGGAAGAGAGGGTTAGAGAAATGGGAATGCAACCGGTCAATTCAATCTATATTATAATGTGCCTGCCGAGCCCAATTCAGAACGTGGTGTATTTGCCATATAGGCCTGACACGGAAGCCCAACTCAGCTTCCAGACCCTTTCAAATTCAAAGAATGTTTATTGCCCTGTTATGTAACGATTATGCATGTGTGTACTGATGGTGTGTAAATTGTATTCAATAATATTATTGAATACAATTTAATGGTATAGCTCCTTGGATGGTTATATAATTTATATCACGTTTTAGATTCTTGATTCAACTAAATGCCTTTAAAGGTTTTACATTCTACGGTTTTATTGCAAGGAGAAGGCCCACAAGACGATCGCTAAGTAGTATGTAGGAAGATGGAACAAACAACTTTGTTCAATTGAGCAGTAATGTACAGTGACTACGTGCTCCAAGCGATTCGGGCATACAACCATAATCAACAAAATCAGACACTCATGATTAGAAATGGGGACTGATTATAAGATCCCGGAAACATTCTTCACAACTTCCTATAAAGTCTCAACGGACTACAAAGGAGAGGAAGAACACCGGAAAACCTCAGATACCATTTTATGGTATACAGATATAGTACTGATATTGTTGTGTACCCTACTGTGTTTTGATAGTAAATGTATTTACTAGCGTGAATGTCAAGAGTAAGTGGGTCGATGGCGGAATATGGAGGATCCCCCATCAACCCCATTAGGTTAGTTATATACCAAGTGAAAAGGTTGATGGAGGACTATCCAGAACACTACCATCCTAACTGGGTAAATGATATGTAAATAAAAAAAGAACTCCGAAACCAATCAAATTGGATAGGAACTAAACAATTCAGGCATACAACCATAGTTAACAAAATCAGACACCCATTATTAGAAATGGGGACTGATTATATGATCCCGGAAACATTCTTCACAACTTCCTACAAAGTCTCAACGGACTACAAAGAAGAGAAAGAACGCAGGAGAACGTCAGATACAATGATATAGTATACAGATTGCTCCAAAACAAACGAAGGAACCGGATCAGGCATTTTCTGTACAAGCCCAAAACATGAGCAATCAAACTCATTAGGGAAGTACACCTCGGTCTTTCAAGCAGAAGTACATACCATCAATGCTTGTGCCCTGAAAAATCTTAAAAGATGCTGGCAAAAAAATCCTCGTAAGATCTGATAGCCAAGCAGCCATTAAAGCATTAGCAGGTGAAAGAATCACATCAAACTTAGTCAGTGAATGTATCCAAAATCTCCAAAACCTGGGGAAACACAACAACCTGATGATATCTTGGGTGTCAGGCCACAGGGGAATTTCGGGTAACGACTAATCAGACAGTCTGGCCAGAGGAGGATCTGCAAGACCTTACATAGGCCCTGAACCTATGTTGGGATAACAAAAACAAATGTAAATCCTCAATCGCACAATGGATCCAAACAAAACAAAAGGAGAAGTGGATAAACTCTAGCAGGGCAAACACATAGTAAACTTATGGTGAAACAACCCTCACAAAGACAGGCAAAAGCATTGCTGCAATTGGAGAGGGCCAAATTCAGAGGAGTGTTAGGCCTACTAACCTGTCACTGACATCTGATAAAACATCTACATAGCATGGGTATATACAACGATGATCCCATTTGCAGATTATGTAATGAGGAAGAAGAAATAGCCACTCATATCATCTTCGAATGCGAAGCAACAGCTCAATGGAGATTTAACCTAACGTAGGGAAAAAACTTAGGGAATCATATTGCAGCAGCGACAGTCAATGACCTGATACTTCTAAGGAGAAGGATTGAGTCTATTGCTCTGAACTAAGGAACCAGGAAGGTACAATAAGCCAAAAGGCTGCAGTGCCTGGGGAGCGCAAACCCCGCTTCCTAGTATCCTTTTATTTTACCATACCATACGTGCTCCAATAGTTTTCCATTCCATTTCGAACATTATTAATGCAACGAGAATTCAAACCAAATACTCAGACCCCAAGGGCAAATAGACCAGATCTTCCAAGCTGAGATTCACGCAATCGGGAGATGTACTCAACTCAACTTGACTAAAGGGTAAAACAGCAAGAACATAGTTGTCATGTCAGATAGCCAAGCAGCCATCAAAACATTAAGCTCAAATATCATTAGTTCAAAGATGGTGTTGAACTGCAAAACCAAATTAAACATACTAGGTTCGCAGAACAAAATCAGCCTCCGCTGGGTTCCAGGACACATGGTAATAAAAAACAACGAGAAAGCGAACACCCTTGCAAGGAAAGGAGCTGCTACACAGCTGATATGACCCGAACCCTTCTGTGGCATAGGAACCCACACTATCAATGAGTATCTCAGACAGAAGGACAAAACGAAAATGAAGGAACAATGGAATTGACTCATGGACACAGGCAATCCAAGAATCTAACAAATTTCGGAAGAAAAGAATACAGAATGTGTCAAAGGAAGCAGGAATCAACTGCGAATCCTAACAGGACACTGCAAGCTAAATTGACACTTAAAGAAGATTTGAATAATCCAAAACGGCACTTGTAGATTCTGCAAAGAGGCAGAGGAGACACCAACACACCTACTAACAAACTGCGGTGCTACACTTGCAGGAGGATGTACAATTGACCATGGAGGAGATTCAACCACTGAAACCGGGGGGTCAAGTTCCTTGACGAAATAGGACTCACTGGTGTGCTTTAGACAGAATACAATAGCTCTTAAAGGGCTCGGTATATTACACCACGACTATTATCTACATCTATTCCCAGTCTCCTCAGAAACTATCGGAGGAAAAATTTATATGCAAACACTAGCGGATTATCGACCACGATTCCCGTTTCAGGTAACACTTAAGAAAATTTGCCAATTTTTTAAGATTCTAAGATGTTGTTCTTATTTGTCATAAGTGAAATAAAACAGCTTGTCAATAGTAGCAACTGATTTGCTCTAAATCGAAACGATGACTGAGTTTTTAATACTAATAAGATCAAAAATTTATCCACTATATCGAACCCGTGTTCTCCATGGCAGCATTCTTGGTTCAATTCAGTTTTCAGTATACACTGCAGAAATCCCTAGATTAGAATATAGAGAAATCCTCACATTTGAAATCTACATGGCTATTCTTTCCGCAAACATGGACACGTTAGTGGCCTTCAGAAACCTCCAAGTACATCTCTCCTTTTTGGAAGAATGATTCAAGAAATGGAGAACCAGACTAGACAAAACGAAATCCCCAACATAAAACCTTTACCTTTTTTTCCAATGTACTACCATTCTGTGTCTCTTCCAGCAACAAACGTCCGCTATTTGGGACGTCAAATCGGCAAAATACTTGGGAGCTCCCTCACTCGAAACAAAAGAATAGAACTAAACGGACGACATAAACGTACGGAACTGAACAACCGAGCCTACTAATATCCAAAGAATGAAGTCCCTCCAGTCCAAACTCCTTCGAACCATTGCCAAGTCTCCCAACTTCGTATCCAACCTTACTATCCTCCTAGTTCTTCATATCCCATTTGTCTTCGAAATCGCAATAAATACAGACGCATCCATAAAGCCCAAGTTCCTCATCCCAACCAGACGCCTAAAGCGCGAATGGTTTCATGATTTCATCCCTTGTGAGGGAAGTGAATAGAGTTGTGTTAGATGTGTAATTAATCGATTACTTATCCACTCTTATAATCTTATAAAATTTACGAAGACAACACGGTTTCTTGTAGTGTACTAACGCTGATGTAGCATAATAATAATATTTACTGCAATCATAAAAACGCATTTCGAATTGTTCCCAAAATATTTGATAATTCAGCCTCATACGTATCATAATTCAACTGAGGAATCCTTGCTTTCAAAGACGGAAAATGTTTCAGATCCTTTCTTTTCAGTTGATCTATCATAAGTTGCAATTTACTTTTGAATGCGTTTACTGCGCTAATCATCTCAATAATAGTTTTTCCTTTACCTTGAAGCTCCAAGTTAACGGTGTTTAAGTGCATTGTGATGTCAGTCAAAAATGCCAAATCAGTCAGCCATTTTTNCTACTAGTCTAGAAACAACGCGGCTTTTCTTTGACAAGTGCCGCGCGTTCCTTTGATAAAGCCACCTTTTGCCGCAAGCAGTGTTATTTTATTACGTAATACATTTTTGTAGTTTAGTTACCTACCTACTTATTAAAAATTTTTTTCTTCTCGAGATCTACTCAAAAAGCACTCGCGATCGACTGGTCGATCGCGATCGACCGTTTGAGCACCCCTGCTTTAAACTTATTTTTTTAGTACACAACTTTTTTTCAAGACAACCATCCAATAATTTCCTACTACTCTTAGTTGCACCTATTTTCTAAATTTTTTTATTTTTATCTTGCACAATCATCCAAAACTTATTTCAGATTAATATAAGCATAATATTGCTAACAAGAGGAAGAATAACGGTTTATGATTAATATCCCACCAAAATTATTTGTTCAATTAGGTCAATGCAAAAGTTTAAATAATATTATCCTTAACCTTATAAAGGAAAAAGATCCGAGTGTTTAAGCAGCCATTTTTGACGCGGGCAAAGGATTGTGCACAGGATATAAAAGGATTTGAGAAAAGCAGTGAAAAGGATTTGAATCCAAGATATCTCGATCCATTCAGCTGTCATCCCCAAGACTAGATTTTAACGTTTACGTGTATTCTAAAACGACAATTCCGATCGATATCTCTACCAGAGACATTTCAATTTACTTTTTCGAAATCCACATCGAGGGAACGAATTTACGAGAAAAGTTCTGTCAACTTGGAGTATTTACGTAAATACGGAAAAAGTTCAGATCCTTACCTGTCGGAGTTTCGACATAGCGTCGGAGGATATAAATTCATCTTTGTTCACGTGGCAGACGAAGCACATGACTTGGTACTGACTTTGTCCACGCTCCTCCTCGCCAAGCACCAGTGCCTTTAGGATCTGGACCTCCTGAAAATTCAAAAAATAGCATACGTTAAAGTAACATCAAATTAGAAACAAATTTAAATTAAACAAAGCCTGCAGTAGGAAAAAAAATGTCCTTTGGGCCCATTGCATCTGAGATTCATTTTTTGAACTGTGACACCAAATCACATGCCCAATTGCCCTTCTCCAACGTCCTAGTCTGGCTCCCCAAAGGTTTGGTGTGTGATAAGGTAAAAGCAGGGTGCCAGAGAGAAAACATTTAAATTTTTACAATAAGTCTAAGTGGGGCCACAACTTGGGTGCTGAAAGGGTCGCTGGAGGGTACTGATAGTTTGACTATATTGTTGAATTGTATATATCCTAGATCATTTTCATTAGAGGTTATATTTTTATTTTCAAAGGACATTTTTTTTCCTACTGCAGGCTTTGTTTAAATATAGGTAGGTTTTCATTTAAAGGTCGTTTTTAATTTGATGACCCTTAAATATTATTTATCAAATCAGATCAAAAATCGCTCCCAAAAAGTACGTCGCTTCGGAAATCGCCACAGGGCTATGACACGTGTGAAACAATACTTTTGTTCACAACCGAAACCATTTAAGACCTGTTGCTTTGTAAATACCGCACGATTGACGCTATATATATATNATATATATTATTAGTACTAGACTATTCAACGAATAAAGGTTGGACGAAAATGAAAGCAAAAATTGTTATTTTAAATGAAAAAAGAGCTCAAGATATACAATTGTGTAGCAAATGTTATACTGGATATAATTCATGGTTTCCCGTGTACCTTTTATGTCGTTTCAAACCTATTATTTTCTGATTTTCAAAAATTTTTAATTAATTAATTTTGTTTCTTGCTAAAAAAAATATTTTTATTTAGAAAATTCTGTGCGCAAGCAAATTCGTATCTATAGACGTACAAAGCATAATTATTTTCTGACCGAGCAACGCAACAAAGCAAGTGAAAATATTTTTTAGCAAGAAACAACCTTGATCAAAAAAAGCCCCTGAATACAAATTTTGGGGATATAAATTCTCGATCTTCTTTGCCTTCCAAATGCCTCCGAATTGAGAAAATTGCAAAATTGGTAAATACCACTTTGAGACGTCTCCATCGGTTCATAGAAATAGAAATAGATCTGGCGTCCTTATCCTTATTCCGTTCTTACTTACAATGTCTTATATTTTAAAACTTATCGACAGGCTCATAGAAGAGAACTGCAAAACGAAAGAGCCATAAAAACCATGAGTTAAAAATTTTAAGGGAAACACTGGAAGATAGAAGGGGACCGCGGTAGCCGAGTGGTTTCGATTCCCACCGTCGCCTCTGGCCCTTTTCTCCCGATAACCCGCAATTTGAACAACATATATAAGAATTCGTCATGGCTAATATGCAAAGATCATAAGGCAAAAAAAAAAAAAAAAACGAAGATAGAAAAAGAAATGTATTGCCCTCGGCCAATCGAGCCCAAAAACGTCTACTTAACTACCATAAAAGTATGTAACGATGTTTTCTTATATTTCGACCTCAACAGTTTAACTTATGTTCAGTGTACAGGCGTTAACTCACCTGAGGAAGGATTAAAATAAATCCGAAACGTTGTGGATTGAAAGAAAAACTGGTTCTTGTTTGTTTGAGATGATCTATTATCCCACCTTCAATAAGGAAAAATCATAAGATAAAAATTTGTATTTAAGGGCTTTAAAAGATATGTGTAGAGATTAGTGACCGTTAATCGATAATTATTCAGATATCGTGAGATGCGGTCGGGAGTGATGTAGGTTTCAGAAAAACATTTTCTTTATCGTGCCAACGTTTCGATCTTTTATTGAGATCATCTTCAGGGCCTGGGATTTACAAACAATGTTTANTTGTATATCTTTATGTTCTTGTGGTGAAATGATTCATGGCTCAGGGTAATCATTCTGTGAAGTAACCCTTTGGCCGTGTTAACTATTGTATGAAGAGGATGGTGAGATTTAAAGTTGAGGTAGCGATCTGTGTTTCTTGGTTTTTGGTACCAATCTGTGATTAATGTGCCATCTGGTTGTTTTATTACAAGTGTATCTAAAAATGGTATTTGCATTGTATAAATTCACTTATCCACATCCTAAATGTATTTGTTAAATGTAAACATTGTTTGTAAATCCCAGGCCCTGAAGATGATCTCAATAAAAGATCGAAACGTTGGCACGATAAAGAAAATGTTTTTCTGAAACCTACATCACTCCCGACCGCATCTCACGATATCTGAATAATTAGCTTTAAAAGATGTTCAAAACAAATTCAATTTACTTTTCATACTTGATTTTGTTTTGGTAACTGTCTATGTATCAAACCTCATTTAATACGTTTCTGTACATTACAAAAAATATCGGCTCCTAGGGCCACTGACCAGAAAGTTCGGTCATGTGCTAATATTTTTGACCTATTATCACTAATGTCACCAAAACGTGTTTCATTGAAATTCTGTTACCACGTCCCTTGCCGCCCCTAGTCATTTAGAGTATAAAATACCTGGGGTAGGTTAGAACCCTACGTTACTTGTGCTGGAATGAATATAACGTCGAAATTGATTGTTCATTTTAATGTGAAGTATATCAACTTCTAAATTCTATGGTTCTTTAATATATGTCAACATGTTTTGAGATCAATGTCACTATTTAATGCACATAACCTAAATGAAATTAATGTTAGGCATCAATCGGTCTAGAATTTCACGGAGAGGTAGATGATATTCTGAAGAAGACTAATTATATTTCGCGATTTCTCAGATCTTCATTTTCTTCTACAAAATTTTTAATTTTCTGAAATGTAATGCAGAACCCACTAATTTTTTCCGGTATTAAAACAATAACTTTATTATCCTTTGTCCTTTATTATTGCCCAGAATATCGGCTGACTGGCTATATTAACGAAAGAGGTAACTATATTAGATTACAGGCAAATCGGATCAGAAAACAATTTGACGGTTAGAAGAATAACTTGTTAAGCCTAACAGAGTTGTCAGAAAGTTTACAGATTCCGCAACCTCTATTGCTTACTGGTTTAACTTCGGCTCAAGCGGAAGCCAAAAAAGTCCTTTAACCCTTTCATAACAGCCAACTTTACGAAGAGAAGATAAAAATTGACCTTTAATGTTGTTCCACCGTAACAACAAAGTCGCGACGTTCAATTGCCGTTTCATCTTGAATTTTTATAATAATAAATTGAAAAGAACATGTAATGATAAACTCAAATAAAAATTATTAATGCTATATTTTATTTAGTAAATAATTTAAAATATAAAAGATATGTTTTCTGTTTTATCAGTAAAATAAAAACATTTCACATTCAAACAAATATCTAACAATTGAGAATTCAGTTAGTAAAAACGAGCGATGGAAAAGTGATTCATTTTTTCAAATGAACAAATCGCCCACAGTTTAGTTTATGGTTCGGTATCATCAATCGATTTATTATTATTAATATTATTAATTTAATCACCCCACAAAAGGCAATGGATCAAAAATAAATACAAGTACAACAATACAATATAAAGCAATTATTAGTACAAGCTCTATTGAATTTTGAAATTCAAGGTATAACCCCAAATTTTCTCGGAACGAACCATTGCAGCACGAACAATTGGTTGATTTAATATTAAACCACCCACCATTATATTTCAACTCCGTATTGTTAGAATTGTTTGTTTGTTTAATACTGTATGTGAAATTGGCGAAAATTGTTTATATTAGAGATTTTTTTTAAACTGGAAGTATGGAAATTTTAAAATATTGTGTTAGTTAGCATCTAGAAGGTAAGCTCGATTAAATATTGATCAAATGTATTTTATGGAATAATTTCTTTAAAATATTGATATTACTGACAATAATGAGTGAGAGTGTGAATGGCAGGTATTGAAATATAGGTTCATATATTTTTTCTCTTTATTTGGTATATTTCGAGTACATAATTATGTGCTCACAGGAGTGTATTCTTGAACAATAGTCACATAGATTCGACCTTTCTATGTTTATTTTAAATAAAATAATCTATTATAGAAGAAGGCTTAACATTCAACTTCACGTTTGGATGTCGCGGAGGAATATAATCAATTCAAATTTCATAGGCTGTGACGGAATTCGAACCCAGATCTTCTAGCGTAAAAATATAGCTTTGTTTACTGGTATAACCTTAAACCAGCTCAACGATTTACAGATCCACCCTTTCTTAGAATTGTGAAATCCCTTTATACAATTGGTACAATATAGAACCTTTAATTTACTATAAATTTCTGAATAATGGAGGGTAATAACGAATTTTTACTTAATTAATTTTTATCAATTTTGCCAATTGATTCTTACTTTCAATCTATTCCAAACCTGTATGAGCATTAACCCAAGTTATAATCCTTTTATTTTGTACCTGTTTGTAGAAATTTATTTTCCATAGAATTTCCAATACACATACTATTTGTCGTTCAAATAAAATACAAAATAAATTGTGAGATATCTCTGTTTGGTCCGCGAGGTGTTACCGATACATTAAAAGAACGCACTTAGTCCATTCAGCGCAATATATAAATTATTTTAGATTACAAGAAGCTACTTGGGAACTATCAGACCAAACCAGAGATTGCAGACCAAAATGATCGGTAACGATCAAATTACAAATACTGGATGATCAGTTCTTTTCCTACGGTAGGATAAAAGGTCGGTGTTGGTAAAATTGTTATGTTCAAGATATAGTAATAAATATATTTTAATTTACTGAAGCTGTTTCAGAAGTTTTGTCAGGCTAAGGTCAGCAAGTCCTGAAGTTGTCATGCGCCCTGCATTAAAAATAATAAGAAAATTGTACTAATTCTTAACAGAAAGAACTGAGGAAAGAAGATCAGGTAAGATAATATCTTCAGAATTGCGTCTGGGTGGTTTTTGGGAAGTCAAGCTTCTTTTGTTAAGTCGTGAGAGACATACAACGAAGTTGGGGAAATGCCGAAACGCCTCTGACAGAAAAATAACACAGCGAGGAT